TTGTAAATAGTGAACTCGAAACTCTAATGTGGTTGGTTGCTACTGAGCATCAGGAGAAAAAGTTTATGCAACGGATGCAACAAATCAAAACATTGTCTCCTGCAACATATGAATGGTTAAATGAATTATTTTATAAATTATTTTATTTTTTTTTATAAATCGCTGCACTAGCAGCGATTTTTTTTTTAAAATTTCTTTATAAATCACTGCACTGGCAGCGATATACCTTATTTTTTTAAAAAAAATAAAATAAAAAATAATATGAAATTGCTGCCAAGGCAGCGATTTGTAAGAAGCAAAATTTTGAAATCGCTGCTTGGGCAGCGATTTCATTTTTTTATTAAAAAAAAAAATTGTAAAATCGCTGCCTCAGCAGCGATTTTACTTTTTCAGGTGAAGTAAGTCGCTGCATTTGCAGCGATTTTACCGTTTTGGTTAATATAAAAATTTATATACCGTTTTAAATTTTTTATTAATATTTTGTACCCTTTAAGTTTAGGACTATCAAAAGATCCCTCTCAACTTTTTATATATATCACATAAAGGCAAATGAATAATATTATTGAAGTCATGTTGAACATGGAACTGCATGTCTAATTTCTATTATACATGAAGACGATGTCTTAAAGCGACTAGAAGTATTTTTGTCAAAATAAAAAATGTTCAAACTAAGGAAGTTTATGATTTCAAAAAAAAAAAAAAAACAAAAAAAAACTAGGCTTATGCTAGATCATGTAAATACCCACTTTCTAAACATTATTTATTTATCTAAACATTGTTTAGTGCGTATGTACTATTTATTAACATAAATAAAAATGTATGGACACTAATAATTCAAGATTGTCAAACATTAGATTTTGGGGAATTTATTTACGAGAGCCTGTATTTTCACATGATCAACTCTACGTTGCATTGTCAAGATCAAAAACTTCAAAAGAAAAATTATATAAATTAATACATTTTAAAAAATAAAAACTAATTTTAGCGATATTTTTTGTTTATTATCATTTATAGCAATGTTTTGTTAAATCTGTAATATATATTAAAAGTGAATTATGTATGCAATATATATGAATTATACTTGTTTTTTGAAATATATCATGCTTGTTTGGTAAAAAATTGTCACATTGTATTATAAATGTATTAAAATGTGTGATAAATGTATTATTCATCATTAAAATTTGTATTATATGTGAATAATAAATTGTTCTTTGTAATATGTATTGAACTTGTATTATAAATGAATCAGAAGTGAACAAGTGAAAAAAATATTATTGCTATAAATGATAAATATTTTTTTTATGATAGTATATTTATGTAAGTTTCCCAACTTCAAATAATATCAAATTGTTAATTCGACCACCAAACCAGGAGAGTCATAACGATGACACAAACATATAATGTAGTTTATGATGATATTATTCAAAAAGCTTTCCTCTCAAAGTTTCACCTTACATTCTCCTAATATTTCCTTTAATTCTTCATCTTGATAAGTTCATAAACTGTTTTCTTTGTACACTTAAACTACATGTGACAATCTCTTACCTGAGCCAGCTTAGAAGATGAACACAAGTTTCTGGTGTGCGAATTCATGCTGAGAGGAAGCTTGAAAAAAATCATCTATTCAGAAGTAAGTATAGTTCGTCTAAAACCATAACTGCTTATTCATATTTGAATGTTATAGCAAAGTTTGCGTAAGTGCGCTCCACAACAAACATATATATGTATAATTGGCAATACATACACAATTGAAACGAACAATTTGAATTTGTATAAAACGAGAAAAAGAGAAAGGCAAAAGAGACTTTGGAAGGGAAATATTTGTATTATAAATATAATTATAAGTGTATAGGACGATTATATACAATTTAAATTTGTATAAAATGAGAAAGAGAGAAAGGCAAAAGAGATTTGGCAGGGAATATACAATTGAATCGAATTGTATAAAACGAGAAAGAGAGAAATTATATACAATTTGAATTTGTATAAAACGAAAAAAGAGAGAAAGACAAAAGAAACTTGGCAAGGGAGTATTTTTATGGTATAATTATAAGTGTATAGGACGAAAATATATATATATATATGCATGTGTTTATACAATTTTTACTCGCTTTATACAAATAGAAACGCAATCTATACATTTCATTTATGTTTGTATAAGCGAGAGAGGCGAGGGTGACGAGCGAGATCTGTGAGAGGGGAGAGAGAGGAACGAAAATATACGTATTTATACAATTTTCTTTCGCTTTATACAAATACAAACACATTTTATACATTTGTGTTTGTACAAAAAGCTAGAGAGGCGAGTGAGACTGCCACCAAACGAGAGTGGCGAGCGAGATTCCACCAAGGAGAGTGGCGAAAATAGTTATAATTTGCTATAGGGTACAATTAAATCAAAATATATCTATATCATTTGATTTGAATTAATAATTTGCAATTATATACAATTTTCTCTTTTCTAAATCATGTATAAAAAATTTATTATACTATGAACTTGGTTCAATCATGAATCCACATCTGATTTGAGATGAATTATATTATGCATGAACGAAGAAAAATGATAGATTTTGGCTTTGAAATACCAACTATTTTTAGTCTCATGTGAATCTTTATTTTGTATGATGGTTAGTAACTATACAATAGTAAAATATATCTTCTATTCCCCCCCCCCCCCCCCCAAAAAAAAAAATAAAAATCTGGACTACAAAATCTATGAAACTTGTTGACTGTATAAGATATCAAAAATCAGTTTGATACATTTGATGTCTTTTATTTAAGTTCATGAAAATTAAAAAAAAAAAATATTTTTAACTCCATGTCAAATAAAAACAGCGGAAATAATAAATATAGCAGCAGTGGGATTTAGTTTATATAATGTCCACCACGTTGTTAGTGTCGGCTCTCGTAGCTCAGTTGGTTAGAGCACCCGTTTAGTAAGCGGGAGGTCTTGAGTTTGACTCTCAACGAGAGCAAAAATAGCTTATTCTTTTTCTATTACTGGCAATAGATTTGTGAGATCATATGCATCTCGATAGAGACATAGACACCTAATATATGGAACAATTCACAAGAACATTTTCCTTCATACCGAGCATATCCATTAGAACAAAAGACATTTTTGACCCTTTTTCCGAACCTAAAGAATTGGTTTTCAATCTCTACATTTTCAGGCAAGCAAATTTACCTTAAGATAGTTGCAAAATTAACCATTCTTGAAAATTGGTTCAACAACCAAGGGTCTGGTGACCTCTCATCCACTTTGTTGATATACATTTAAATGATAACGAAACTGATAGACCACCAATCAAAATCCTGAGGAACTCTTCCCCTCTGGTGATTGATTCTTAGCACCCTTGTTGATCACGCCATTGCAGATAAATTAATCCAGCGCGATAATGTGTATAAGCTCCTGCCACTACAAGTACATGAAATAGGTTGTGGCTATGGCCAGCAATGTCAAATTTCCCAGGCATCCATCTTTCTGGAACTCTAAGGGCATAGATTAATGCTCCAATGCCGTATAAGACACCCATCAGAACTTCATAACCAGTAGTATGAAGTGCCTCAGGTTGGTTCCAATAGAGAATCAACTTGTGTAGGATAGGTGCCACACCTGACATGCCCATCCCGAAAAATAAACCTGCTCGAAGGCTTCTAAATTTTGGCTTTTGAAACACAGGAAGGAGAGAAGCCAACATTGCGCCAACTCCCAGGACAGTGATAAATCCCAGGTAGAGGTTTAAGAAAAAGGGGTAGCACATGAAGGAATAATAGACAGGAGGGTAAAATGAAGTTGATATCAACGCAGCAATACCAGCGTAGTCGAACCTCAGCATTACATACGATAATCGCTCTGAATGGCAACAAAGTAAATGACATGTGCTGCTTGCTAATAAGCAAAACATTGCCCCACCAAGGAAGGCATAGAATGGCCACCGCGTTATAGGCTTCACCATTAGTGGTGCTATCACGTTAGCCACATCCTTAACACTATGCTGCACAAATTCAAAAAAATAGAGATATATCAATCACTAAAGATGGTCAGAGAACAAATGCTTTTTCTGTAAGTATTCATCAATAGATTTACTAATGACTTTCTGAAATTTCTTCATTTGTTGTGAACCAGCAGGTTCTTCAGGAAACAATCATTCAATCAGAATGACAGTGATAGAGAATACCTATTCAGGGTGAAGAAAACTTAAATCCAAGAAAATTTCCAGCAGATGAAAGTCAGAACAAATGGAAGACACATAAGGGTAACACTCGACTGGTGGATATACCTTCACAAAAATAGGAGAGAAAACTATACTGACCTAATAAAATTATTTCTGCTCTGATGAATTTTTGTTGTGCAAGTAACAGGGTAACACCAATAAATATATTGACATTGTAATATTGATGATTAAAATCTATATCTTGTTTTGTTATTTTTGAGAGGACAGTCATCACTATGTTGGTCATCAGGGGCGGAGCTAGAACCCATAAAGTTCAAATCCTGGCTCCACCTCAATTGGTCATCATTTAGAAATGCGCAGGGCTAGAGGAAACTTCCTAATGAAACTGATTAATACTTCACTTTTGAGGTCAGTTTCCTTAGTCATATTAATATCACACATTCATTAGGTCTTCAACCTAGCTCATATGCAGACACTTTAAGATCGGATGTCCATTAACAAGGGAGAAATGAATTTGTGTAATGCAACACACTTCGGAAACAGAGGCAGAGTGTGGAGACATGACACAATTTGCCATGCCACTTCATGCAATGGAGACGTGCACTCAACACAAAGAGACAAGACACAAAATGTGCAATGAACTCAATGATATTTTAAGCAATCCGATCAGGGAAACAATTTTGACATCAAGCCGTCTTCAAATATCTAGGTACAAAGCAAATAAGTCACTAATTCATTGGCATTCTAATTATAGAAAAACAACGTCTTTACACTAACAACAGATTTTTTCATCTCTAGGTATAGGCAAAACAAGTATAAATACCTCAAACTGAAGCATTAAGAGAAGATGAGACATGCACAACCCAATAAAAATAACAAAGCTTTATGTGGCTTTTCATCGTTTAAAGTAAACAAAGGTAATTGAACAGGTTTGATACTGCAACACATGCTTACAGGGCATCAAGCAACACTTAAATTCTTCCTTTCCCCAAGAGTGAAGTAAGATTTACTCATGTTGATATATATACAGAAGCTTAAAATATCAGAAAACCAAAAAAGTGAAATGAAACAAATCAACGTAGCTCAAAAATAGATAATGTAGAATTCATTCGAGAGAACTTTTAGCTGTGAAGAAACGGATGAGAAATCAGTAATCTATGATCTAGCTTACTCTGAAATAAGAAATTTTCAGTAAACATAAATATATGGACCATCAATGACATAAACTGCAAATTAAGGCACCAAGTGTGATCAAGAATACGAAACTAAACTAAAGAATAAAAGTATAGTATAGATATAGCTGAACATTTATTAGTGTTTAAGCTCAAACAAAAGAGATTCCAAGCAGTAATTTGTGTAACAAAGAGGAGGGAACAATACCAGAACACCAACATCTGTATGATTGCCATGGGAAAATCGATCAGGTAGACAGTTTGATAGGAGTTGCAGTAAATTCTCTCGAAGTTTGTGCAAATCAGGCATATTCGGCAAAGAAGGAATACATGGTAAAAGATCTGCTGGTAATTTGTGTAGATCAATCTTGCTAAGCTTTTCAGGGAGATTTTGTAAAGTCTGAAGATCCACAATATCCGGGACCTTCTTTGCAGTATATATAGTTAGCACAAGGAAGAGAAAGAATCCTATCAAATGCCTGCAACACACAGAGAAATCAAGATACAATAAGAAATTCTTCTTGGTTTTTCATTTTTACACATTAATTTTTTTTTTGAGAAAGGTAACGTTAATTCTATATATCCACAGGTATACAACATCAATGTGTAGTCCCCCTCCAAAAAGTTTTACTTACATCATTCCTAGGACCTTCTAGTTACAACCAGTCAATAATATTAAACACATTTTCAGCATCTCCTATCACTACTTGTTTACACCAAAAACAATAAAGCCCTAGGCAACTAGTCTTTATTTTCTAGATATTGTCCTGTTTCCCTTCAAAACATTTTTGATTCCTTTCCCTTCCAAATTGTCCACCAAATGCAAGCTGGGTCATTCCTCCATCTCTTCTCATTTATTCCTGCATTTCCATCCCTGTTCCAACATTGTAGGACTATAATACTCCCAGGCTTTGTCCACTTAATCTTTATCTTTTTAATAAACATCTGCCACAATTGATCAGTCCATTTGCAGTGTAAAAAGAGATGGTTGACTGTCTCCACCTGTTCTTCACATAGATAGCAACTAGAACGTAGATTGGGTTTCCTCTTGTTTTAGTTCTCATGTGTCAAGACTGACTGCCTGCCTAATTTGCCAAGAGCCATGTAAAGCTATTCACCTTGTAGGAATTTCTGTTCTCCAAATCATCCTCCAGATCCATCCTTCATGCTGCTCCTCCGTAGACCTGATTTTCTGTATGCTGATTTTACAGTGAACTCTCCGCCCCTCTCCCCCTTCCATACTAGTCTATCTTCCTCTCCTGTCAATTGGTAGCCATTTGCATTGTATCATGAAATCTTGATACGGTTGTCATCTCCCAATCATTTAAGCCCCTTCTTAGAAACAGGTTCCACCCTTGTCCTGTCCATAACACTGTTGCTTCTTGTCCTTGGCTCAGACTATGTAGTACAGGGAAAACATGTTTGAGCGCTTCTTGTCCACACCAAATGTCATTCCAAAAAGCTATTTTCTCCATTGCCCACCTTGCAGCATGTTCTACTGCCATAGGTTCCTGATAGACCTCCATACACTACAATTGTAAGGGTTGGTGACCACCTCTGTCATCCATTTATCCTCCATGCCATATTTTTCTATTATTACTTCCTTCCATAGCGATACTTTTGGTGAGACAAATTTCCACAACCATTTCATCATCAAACTTTTGTTTTGGGTTTTCAGCTCTCTGATATTGAGTCCACCCCCTCTCTTACCTACCAGCAGTTCCTCCCATTTGACCAAATGGTACTTTCTCTTTATCTTCGCTTCCCTGCCATAAGAAGTTCCTCCTAATCGCATCCAACCTCTTGGTTACGTTAGCTTGTATAGAGAATAATGACATCATGTACAAGGGAAAGGCATCTAGGACAGTGTTAACGAGAGTTAGTCTGCCACCTGACGATAAATATCGACAGTTCCAGTTTGCAAGCTTCCTTTCACATTTCTCAATTACTCCACTCCATATTGACACTTCCAGTTTGCAAGCTCCCTTTCACATTTCTCAATTACTCCACTCCATATTTCTTTTGACTTGCTCTTAGACCCCAAAGGCATTCCCAAGTAGGTTATTGGTAATTCACCCACTTTCCCTTCTAGTATGTTGGTTAATTCTTCAACTTTTAGTACTGTGTTGACTGGATAGATGAAACTCTTGCTCCAGTTTATGTGCAGACCTGAAACAACCTCAAAAATTATTGAAGATGACCCTCAAAATCAGCATTTGCTCCTGTACTGCATCACAAAAAACTAGAGTGTCATCTGCATATTGTAGATGAGTAATCTCTAGGTTAGTTATTTTATTATTTCCCACTTGGAAACCTCTGATCCAGCCCTTTGCTTTTGCTGTCTGAAATAGGTTGTTCGGTCCTTACATGGCCAAGATAAAGAGAAAAGGGAATAAGGGGTCCACTTGTCTCAGACCTCTGTATGATGAGAAGAAGCCCAAGCCACATGGGCATCTGTTAATCAGAATAGAGAATTTCACTGAGCTTATGCACTATCTAATCTATTTTAGCCATTTTGGTCCAAATCCCATCCTTCGTAACAGAATCAGATATTATGATAGAAGGAGAAAATAGAAGACTAATCAAGCCCTAACAGTAGTAATGACTCAAGGAGTACAAGTACATTGTCAATCCTCATAGCTCAACATATATAAGCTATCGACATAGATTATACAATTTGTTCAAGGATGTGAGAGGTCCTCCAGAACTCTTTCTATGATCACACTTCAGAGTGAAATTTGTTAGAAGATGTTTCTAACTACACTCTCCACTTACTGAACCCTCTGCTGAATCTTTTAAGAACCACTAAAAAGTATTTGATCAATCTAGTAGATGACTTAAATAGGAATTTTATCCCAAGGATAATACAAGTCAATCATTAGTTAAGCAAGAGGCATCAAAGAGATGTTATGACTATCGCTAGGCAAAGCCCTATATGAAAAGAAGAAGTTGACTGCCTTCCAAGCCATTATATCTTCTTCTTTAGACAAACAGAAAATTCACAGCAAAATTGTTTCTGATTAATAATACAGTCATTTAAGCAGCAAAATTGTTTCTGATTAATAATACAGTCATTTAAGCAATTAGCTTGAAAACTATAGAAGTTTTATATTCTCATACCTAAATACAAAGATAAAACACAATGATTAATGCCTTATTATAGAAACTTAGATTTAGAAACATCCAGAGAGACAAGCTTGAACCATCTTGCCAATAACTATTCTAAGTACAACCTACCAAAGAGGAGGGATATATAATGATGCTAATTTGGTTTTGCATCATCTGACCCATTCTTTCCCACTGTACCCAAAAACTTATAAAATTGGGACAAATACATGGACAAATACTTATACATAGATTGCTCACAGGAGTAACCATCTAGTTGCAGAATATTTTATTCTTAAAAATTTCTGTATTGGAATCTCAAATTATCCTTGAATAACCACTCCATATAAAGTAGCGAATAAGGAATTGAGAGACACTGAGTAACATCATCTTAATATATGCAGCGTGGATATTCCATTAAAAAGTGAGTTTTAGAGCTTCCTGAGAAGCTTTGCAAAATTACCATCATAAAGTGTGACTGACATAAATGAAAAAGCTCCAAGTTCAGAGAACCTCCCAAGTTAATAATTGCAAGAACATCTCATAGAGAAAAGCATCATAGTGCATTTTGATGCATGTTTGTCTTAATCGAGCTAGAGTTGAGCTGGAATCAATCTGGAAGAGCGATACTAAGTTGAATTTGAGCTGGAAGGCTAAAGGCACAGCTGAGTTGAATTTGTATATAGCTAAGGAGTTTGTTAAGCATAGTGCATTCAGTTAGATAGAGGAAAGTCAGTTGCAAGGATTAGTTGGAAATTGAAGTGAATTAAGGGAACTGCAATATCTTCATTTGGTATTAATGTGTGATCTTTCTCTTCTTCCTATTCAATTTTTTATGTTAGTCTCTCTGATAGGTTCTTAGCTAACCTTCAAATATTTCCAATCTTTGAGTTCGTGGGAAAATTGTGATTTGAATCCAATCACACTTCACATTCTTCTTTCTTTCTTCATAGAATGTTTAATATCAAGAAATCCCAATGAAGTCCCTAACTTGTTTACCACAAACTATATAATATGAGGCAAAGAGGTATTATTGAAAGTGAGGAAGAGTGGGAATTCTTACGTCCAAATATTGAGAGTCTCATTGTGAATAGTGAAAACACTGAGTAAAGCCTGCTTCACTGGCCATTCGCATCGGTAATGACCAAGAATGAATTCATTGTCTTTCAAATAGCCAGGCAAGGAATGATACTCCACCAGCTGGTTATTCACCTTCTTCCACAATCTCTTTTGCTTTTCTTTCTTGGAAATTGAATCACGGAATGGTTGAGTTTCAGATGAACCACTACCATTCAAGGCCTCTTCAAGTTTTTCAACATCGCTTCCCATCTTCCATTGAACCATTAACTGTCAAATATCAAAAAAAAAAAAAGCACATAGATGAAGCAGCTGAAATATTATCAAACACAGATGCATAAAAAAGAGAACTTTCCATAGAGAGCAAATACTCCGACAACATATCTGGTATTCTCCAGGATCAAATATTCAAAATGCATCTTTAACCCAAATTATTGTACTTTCTGGTTGTTGTCCCTGCTTGTTGCTACTGTGGTCTTTTTTATCTGTTCAAAGCTAAGGGACTCTTGGAAAGTAGGTACAAAACTTATAATATCGTAGCCATTCATGGTTATTTTGGTTGATTGCTCTTCCAATATGCTAACGTATGCGTACACACTACCCCAGGCCCCACTCTTCTGTCCCACTTGTGAGATTACAATGGGTCTGTCATTGTTGTTGTATTCAAAATGGATCTTATCACAAATTTGTTACGAGGTGATATCATTTATCATTACTAAAATTCAAGCCTCTGACACAGGACACAACTAATCCAAATCCATGCAGTGAAAATCCCACTATGGGGTTTTAGCGCACCATACTGAAGAGGATTCTATTAGCTCAAACTCGAGACTTGTGGTTAAAGGAAGAAAAATCTTTACCATTATACTATACCCTCCAATTATATCACCAGAGAGAATCCCATTTGTAGTATTTACATATAGTTTTTGGTATCAATTGAAAAGAATAAACTAATCGAGTCCAATTGAGCCTAAAAGTTGATCAAAAGGTAGTTCAATTAGTTTGCTTGACTATCCCAACTTTTCTGTTATTGCTGAGCGTTTGATTCCTCATCTTGTAATCCGCTCCACACTCCCCTTCCCCCAAATTTTCAAAAACTAAAAAATCATTGACCAAAAAAGGAAGAGTAACCAATAAAATTGAGACAAAAAGGCAGAATTGTACGCAATTATGAATCACAAATATGAAAAGCAATATCCTGATACATGAATTGTAGAGAAAAATTAACAATGAAGAATGTAATTTACCTGGAAGAATGGGAAAACGCTTTTGAAAAATGGCGATTCAGATAATTGGATGAATATAATTCTACCGGAGAGAATTTCAGAGTTGAAATGAGGAGAGAGAAAGGGAAAAACGGCTGTTCATCAATGAGGTCCAACAATACCGGAATTATAATAATAAAAAATAAATAAACTTGGTTAAGGTAAATGGGAAAATATAAAATAAATGAATCTAAATATAAATTGTAATTTAATTTTTAAATAAAATTATGATAATAATGATCTATGACACGTAAAAATATGACCAAAGGTATTGAATACAAATCTATATTTATATACAATATAAAGGCGAATAAAATCATGTTGATGTGACATGCTTCATTGATCAGCATACTATTTTATTTTAATTTTTAGAATTTTAATATTTTTTCTCTCATTTAATTGATGTTCAATAACCTTTAAAAACAATTATCCACTTTCCTTATTATTAGCCTTTAGTACATTTAAACTCTTCCTTTCAAAAGGAAATATGTAACATCTAAATACATAATAGTGTAATTAATGTGCATGATCACACATTTTTTCCAGCAACCTACGTATTTTTTTTATAATTCTTAATCACATGTAATCAATTAGACAATTAATTTTCCTATTTATTCATACCTTCTTAGACATTTTCCTTGGAGTTTCATGTAAGTATTTTTTTTCATATCTTCTTATACTTTTTTGGAGAATTTCATGTAGTTTTTTCTCTCTCTTTCATCTTCTTCCTATTATTTTATCCATTGGTACTCTTTATTTTTGATGTATATATGTTAGCATCCTTTTAAATAGGATAATTATTATGAAGCTTTTTATATGAAGAGCAAAAGAGGTAAGCGAAGAGTTTATTTTATCTATTCTTGATTAATTTTTAATGTATGTATATATGTTAAGGATATTATCATGAAGCTTTTTGCTATAAGCCCATAGTTTTTTTTTATTATAATAATAATAATAATTATTATTATTTTATTATTATCATGTTAATGTAGGGCATGCCTCATGATCACAAAAGGTATTTGTCTATTTACTTAAGATCTATGCATTTTTCTCTATTTTTACACAATTGTATTATTAATAATTATTAATTAATGATCAATTATACCTTGCTATAAATAAAAAATTTCAAAGGCTATCATTTTGGCATTTTAAAATTATACTCATTTCATTCCTCGTAATCAATATTTACTTTTCCATAATTAAGTCCATAATTAGTGTGCTTAATTATGGAAAAAATGGTTATGGATACAGAATTTCAATAATAATAAAAAAAAAGAAATGCATCCACTTAATTGCAACTCTTTGATGAAAAAGATAATGCAACGTTTCAGAATTTTACTATCAAATGAACTACTTCAAAATTCTAACACAATTTCTCTATTTTTCTTTATGCGGTATTTTATTTTTACCCCTATTTGTTCATTTTATATCTCTTCCTTTATTCTCTCTCAATTTAGTATTACGATATCTTAATTTTTGTCTTTATTTTTATTTACCTCAATAAATTTTAATTTATATATCTTATGAAGATAATACTCTAATTAAACGTTAATTATTTGCAAGTTATATAGATATTATCTCTTTATTGATTTATGAGAGGAGTTGAAATATGAAGTGTAAGCAGTTGTTTTACCATTCTTTTGGTTGGTGTCCAAATTTTACCAAAAAAATTAATACTTTAACTTTTCAACACAAATATTTCTAAAAGTTATATAGTGACTTATCATTATTAATTGTATATAAGGTTTATAAATTGTAATTACGTAATAATTAGTTTTCCGTGAATAAAGAAAATATGATTGTCGTTGAAATTTCTTATTGTAGATCACGTAGATATATGATGTTACTAAGAATATGAAGTTACTGACTTTTCGTTATTGATTAGAATTATTACTCATCTAACTGGTTCATTGTAAATTAAAATTTTCTTCCAATTGTGAATTTACTCTTTTCACTACAAATTATATGAAAATGTAATATTATCAGTGACAACATATTTAGAAAGAGAAGATTTATCAACTAAGCAAGATAAACTTCATTCAAGTGTGATTTTCTTTTTGCAAATCAGTAAA